CTTCGTACTTACAGCCTCTTTTATTCCTCTGTGTGTGTGCGTTCCTAAGGAGACAAAGGAGATGGAAGAATCGTAGCAATAGGTTCACTAATTCAGTGCCGATGAGTTTAACTGCACACTGACTGAACAGTCGGCATCTGTAGTAATGTGGTTGGAAAGGTCTTAACCACAGCCCTAATGGTCAGAACCAGTTTGTACTGATTGACAGTCAGTGGGGTGGGGGGATGGGAGGGGGGCTGGTGTGGGTAGCCACTTCCCCTCTGGGCTTTGACAGAGTCTGAGAACGAACACCAGAACTCTATGTTGTAATGTCTTTTTGATGAGGTGCTGCTCGTGGTAAACAGATCAGCAATAAATAGACGCACTGTCTTTCTCTGTTTTCGAAGGTGTTTTATGCTATGGCCTCTTGCTGGGTGGGAAGTCAGCCAGATCTGCTCTCAGGCTTGTCTACATTTCATCTGGTCACGAGGAAATGCAGAACAGCTCTCAGTAGCCTCTCCCTCTGAAATAGTTTCTCCCTGTACACAATTGTGTGATCACTGACGGAGTTAGCACATGCTCCCCATGCAATTGCATGTGCCTCATGCCTCCAATGGTCACACAATTGAGGGGGGAGAATGTGGAAATACTAAGGGCTAAAATGCAGGATTTCTGTTGGGATTGCTTTCGTAAGTCTGAGTTCCTTCCAGTAACCAGACGTAAGTCACAGCGACTTGCGGTAGAAGCTAAGTCCACAGAGCAGAGTTCTGGTGGGTCTCTGGAATTTCTTCTTGGAAGGAGAGAATATTACGCTGTGTGGTGTGAAATTATCAAGTCCTCCAAAGTTCTAGTGGAACCAGTCGATAATTGAAGATCTGCTAGAGGTGCGACACTAACCCCCACCCCATGCTGTGCTCACTGATATACAGTCAATTCACTTTTACATATAAAATGCAAGGATTATTATAAATACAGTCACTCCACTTCACAGTAAAATTCTGTGAAGCGCTTTGTGGCGTTCTGTAGCTCAGTGGTTAGAGCACTCGCCTCGCAAGCGAGAGACCTGGGTTTGATTCCTGGCAAGGCAAATGTTGGGCCGTTTTCCTTACTCCACACGCCTCTGTTTACCTAGCAGTAAGTAAGAACCCGGTTGTTAGTCGATTGGCAGGACTCTAGGTGTTAATTAACACATCACACATTACAATTTTCACTCCGGGATTCCTTTACAAAAAAAATTCCAACAACAAAGCCAAAAATTCCAACAGCAAAAACAAAAGTTTGGAGCTGAGAAGCCATTTCATTTTGTTACTGGATTTGAGGAAAGGACTTAAATTTAACATTTTGTTTTGGTTTCTTACAGATCTGGCTTCAATAGAGGCACCATCTATTATTATATATCTTGTACTTTGGTCAACACCCTCAAACTCACCCTGCTTTCTTCCCTGCTGGATGATTGTATTGAAGCACCTTGAGATGTTCATCCTACATAAAAGGCACCCTGTGTACAAGTTGTGCTGATTTCCAGTTTGTGTTTTAAAGGATAGAAGTGAAGTGGCTACACACAGCGTGCGGTGAATGGTTTGAGCTGAGCTGAGCTGCTGTTTGACGACAGTGGAAACTGTGCAGCCTTGTGTTTTTTGATCAGCTGAGTGTCTGACATATGCGGAAACCCATCACCATGCTTAAAGAGTATCCAAATCAAACTGAGAATTGCCACCTACATATTCCCATGAATCCCACCTACATATGGAAATCCCAGAGATATTTGTTGGAATGGAATGTGCATTCTCTCCCTGGAGGGTTATATTCTGTTTACCTAATTCCGGAAAGTATTAGGCACAGGTTATCAAGAGCCAAGGCTTGGAGATCCCAGAATGTGAGTTGGTGTCCTGCTGGAGTCTAACTACCTAAAACCACATAGCTTGCCATTGATATCACTGTCTGGCAAGCTTTCCCGCTGCTTGTCCAGTAAGTATACTTTAGGGGTTATCTTATGCCGATCGCTAGAGAATAGGCATGAAGGATGTACTCGGATCAGAAAGATTGTAGTCTGGATTGATTGTAGAATAGGATTGTACAGAGCTGAAAATACCATTAGGGTCCACGAGGCTGGTCCTAAAATAATGACAAGTTACATTGTGTGATACGGCATCGAAAAAGGCCATTCAGACTAGCTAGTTCATGCCAGTGTGTATACTTCACACAAGCTCCCCACTCCTCCTACTCCCCAAACCTATACTCCACTATTCCCTTCTTCCTCATGCAGGAATCAAGTTTTCTCTTAAAGTACACTGATGCTATTTGATTCAACTACAGCTTCACTAGATTGTTGTAAAGCTACCTAAGTACCAAGGTACAATTTACAATTTGTAGGTTGCCAGTCAGGCTTTAGCAAATTTAGTCATGGGTGAAAAATATTCATAGCCAAAGTTAAATAACCACACAGACAGCAAGGTTCAGTGAGTGACTGCTGTCATTTTTAACCATTGCAACAACCTCAAATACTTTCAGCAGTATTTTTTACCAAGTGAAGGTCAAAGCATAATGTATGAGACCAAAAAAGAGCATTTGGTCCATTCTTTCTAGTGACTTGTGTGTAATTTGTAGACATTACTCAACTTGTTTCACCTCCTGGAGGAACTGACCAACTCCCGAGTGGATAAATCTCTCATAAGTGTTCTGGCTTCTCTTCTCTCTAAAGGTAATCCAGGTAAACTCTGGACATCAGCTTGATACTACAATCCTTATTGTTTGGCTTTACCCATCTGCATTCCGCATACGTGTCCAGCTCTTTGTAACGCAGGACTCATTTTGCTCCATAAAGTGTACGATTGCACCTGATTGTGCTTGTGCTTAGAAACATTCAATCCCATTCTTAAACAAATATTCAGCTAGTTGTCCAGTTGAATCCATTTTTATAGTATGTTGGGGGAGAGGGGTGGCTATTGGAGGAATCTTTTAACACCCCTTCGCTCCCTCCACCCTGTCGCACCCCCCCCCCCCCCCCCCTCCCAATTCAGGTGAAAACTCCAGCTCCTTGGGAAAGGCACTACATAAATGTAAATTTGTATTGTACTGGATGTCACTGAGTGTTGTGTGAAGGGCAGTGTGTAATATAGGAATCTTACAGGATTCTCTGAGCTCTGTGGGCTGTGTGTACGAGTGAGATAAATTCCCAAATCCAGGGGTTTATTATTCATTCTGTTTTCACCACGAGTGTTGTGCACAATAGGCCGTTGGAAGAAGAAATGTTCTGTTCATTACTCCTTCCATTTATTTCTAGTTGAGGCACCTACACATATAGAAATTGTTTTTTTTTTACTATCTCCCCATTGTGATGATTTATCACTTCACTCCTTTAGATGACTGTATCTCAAACACAGCTTATTAAAAGTTCCACATGCAACTGTATGACATACCCTCCGTTATGTATCTATCTAGAGGGTGCAACCCATGCAGTGATCAGAATCCACAAGACTACTGGTTTTCCTGACTCTCCAATGTAGATTCCAGGGCAAACTGACCTGGTGTGAAACAATCACTCAGAGACGAGGTTATTCTCAAGAAGGAGATACTGTTTCCTGGCGTATTAATATTGTAGCGCCACATTCCTGTAACTGTAACTGAAAACCTGTCCTGGGCTAAGGTCACCTGTGGGTTTCACTTTACTCTCTATTTTCCAACTCTCTTATCATCTTCTTCTACTTCCTATCCTTCTTTCCATCTATTCTTCCTTCCACCCTATTTTTTTGTTTTCTTTCCTTTTTCCTTTTGCTTCATTCCTATCTTTCCTGCCCTCCCTTCACAACATATAACACAGTGATATCAGTGGAGTCCTGTAGCTCAGTGGTTAGAGCACTCGCTTTGCAAGCGAGAGACCTGGGTTCAATTCCAGGCACAGGGCCAAACCTTGGGCAAGTTTCCTTACTCCACACGCCTAATAATAATCCCTCCAAAACCCAAAACAATAATAAATTGGTCATTTTCAATCTACGACTGTTTGTGGGACATTGCTGTGCGCAATTGGCTGCCGCGTTCGCCCACAAATATACAGTCAATTCACTTTATAGTGTGTTCTGTGAAGCGCTTTGGGACGTCCTCCCGACGTGAAAAGCGCTATATCAAATGCAAGGATTATTATTATATCACACTTCATATCACGTTGTGTGATACTCCAGATATCACAGTGTGATTGATACATTTCATACCATAGTTGAGGGCAGTATTGTCTGTTTTTTCATGTTTGGAAGCACTATCGTGCACACCAGTCTTATAAACCTTCTAAACTCGTTTCCAAACAACAAGTACTCCAAGACGCTATTCCACAAGAACGGTGCTCTTGGTGCTCTGCAAGAATGGTGTTCTTGGTGCTCCTCTCGACTGGACTACTCTAACGCTCTCCTCGCCGGTTTCCCATCCACTACCATCCATAAAATCCAAATCATTCAAAACTCTGCCGCCCGCATTCTCACCCACACGAAACTCCGCTCCCCGATCACCCCAGTCCTTGCCAGACTGCACTGGCTGCCTATCCCAGAGAGGATCGATTTCAAGATCCTCACCCTTGTATTCAAGTCCCTGCACTCCTCCTCAAAAAAGTACCCGTTGGCTTCATTCCTCCGGGTCTGATCTCCTCCTCGTCCCCCGAGTCCTCCGCTCCACCCTCGGCGGCCGTGCCTTCAGCCACTATGCCCCGAGGCTCTGGAACTGCTTTTCTCACTCCCTTCGTCTCGCTCCCTCCCTTCCCATTTTCAGGTCTCTGATGAAGATCTTTTCGACCGCGCTTTTGGTCACCTTCCGCCCCCCTGCCCCTAGCTCGGCCCCGGGATCCATTACTGTAAAGTGCTCTGAGATGCTGTCCGGCGTGGAGGGCACTATATAAATCCAAGTTGTTGTTATACAAATACAAGTTATCATTGTTGTTGGTGCTGACTGCATCTCTCAGCACTTCATAGCTCCAGTACCATGCAGTGCCATGGCAGTAACTATGGACATGTCTTTTTGTTGTTGTTCTGATGCAGGAAGTTGTCTGAGGAAGGCGAGATGGACAAAGTCACAGCAGCGATGGTCCTGACTAGTCTGTCCACCAGTCCACTGGTCCGCAGCCCTCCTTCCGCGGTGCGTGTCACAGGTATGTTATTCAGTCCCATAACATTGTCTCATGCTACAGTCACATAATCACTTGGTTTTTACTTACCTCTTTCAGCTCTGGGGTTACAAATACTTAGGAGATACCATGACATTCCTGATCAGATAATCCTTATCCACCATCGATTGTCCCAGACTTCATTTATTTCTCTTTCACTTAGCGTAGAACCATAGCAATTTATTACACAGAAGAAGTCCATTATTCCCATTGTGTCTGTGTTGTCTCTTTTAAAAAATATCCTTTTCAGTCCCATTTGCCTGTCCTTTACCCATAGCCTTGTGATTTTCTCATTCTTATATATATGTATGTATACAATATGTGTGTTTGTGTGTATGTGTAAGAAAAATACGGGAAAGCATTTGATCAAGAAGGGAAATGCAAGGAAAGCTGATTTCTACAATTAAATTTCCACAGTAATAACATTACTGTAAGTGAAAGAGCACTGAGTGAAGTCTGAAAACAGTTTTCTCTTAAGTGAGTCCCGACCTTGACTCCAGTCCATTTCAGTGGTGTGAAGAATGGGTGTGGTGGGGTGTGTGGGGGTAGAATAAAATAAATACGTTTAAAAATAAATCAAAATAAATAATAATCTCTCCATTCAATATAACGCCTTATCACGTTGTCAAGACGTCTCAACTTGCTTCACAGGAAAGCTGTTTTTTGTAGGACCCACCCTGTGGTGAAGTGTTGTAGTCGGCAGCTCTGTATTCAGCTGGAACTCGTGGTGAGGTTTGGCGGTTTACTGCTGAACAGCCACTTGGAACAGAATACCATTCAATACCGACACCTCACTCAATCTGCTGGAGGGGAAGGGTTAGCGTTGGGAGTGTAAGAGTAGAAGAGGGGAGTTGTATCAAGTGGGGAGATTGTTAGTATTTTTACTGTTGAGTTGGGGACGTTCATTCTTCCTGGATCTCTTTCCTACTATGTGATTCCAAATAAGGGTCATAATCCCTTTTAAAAAAAATTGGGCACTCGATCCCAGACTGTTTGTTGGACATTGCTGCGACGTTTCTCCCACAAGATATACAGTCAATTCACTTTACAGTATATTCTGTGAAGCTCTTTGTTGTTGTTGTCTCAATGATAAGGCGCTATATCCAATGCAAGGATTATTATTATTCCCAAACCTGTCGATAATTATTCAAGCTGGGTTTAGATTGTGATTTGCAATTTTACTAGCATCATCTTGTGTAACAGATGGTGGCCTGAGCAGCTCTTGGAAAGATGTCCCCAATATGTCATCGAGCTACAGCAGCAGCGGGAACTGGAGCTGGGGGGCCCCGAGCGACCAGTCAAACCCGTCCACCCCATCACCGCCCCTCTCTGCAGACAGCTTCAAGCCATTCCGTCCTTCCTTCCAGCCGGACGACAGCATCGATGAAGCCGACTCCAGCCACCTGCTGTTTGATGAACCCATACCCAGGAAAAGAAAGGTGGGTGTCAACAACAACAACTTGCATTTATATAGCAACCTGCGGGTGGGGTAGTGTCCTGGAACGCTCAGTCCACTGCGGCCAGCTCTGTTTCCTCATTCACGTCTTTGTCACTGCCAGGGGAGTCCCTCTGACTCTCACTCTCTTTCTCTCTTCCTCTCCACTTTTAAAACATGCCTCAAGGCTTACCTCTTTGACCGTGTTTTCTGTCGTCTTCTTCCCCACCCCTCCCCCCCTCCTCCCTCCCATCACCACCAGCTCGAGGGTCCAGCCAGCTATTTAAAGTACTTTGGAATACTACTGTAGACAATTACAATGTCTACCTGGCTCAGTGGTACTCTCTGAGTCAGAGGTTCGTGGTTCAAGCCCCATATCAGGGCTTGTAATCACATTGGCTAAGCTGACACTCCAATACAGTTTATTGCAATGTTGGATGTGTCATCCTGCGGATAAAACGTTAAACTGTTCAGCTGAATGTCCTTCCGATCTGAAAGTCTCTATACGGACGTAATTTGTTGTTATTGTTGTTGTTGATGTTAAAGATCCCATGGCGCCATTCGAAATGAGAAAGGAGTTTCTCCCAGTGTCCTGGCCAGGAATCCACCATAATAAAATTGGTCACTTACTCCACGGCTGTTTGTGGGACATTGTTGTGTGCAAAAGTGGCTGCCACATAATATCCCTACAAATACACATGGTCAATCCACTTTACAGTATATACTGTGAAGCGCATTAACACACCTCTTTGATGTTGTAAGGCGCTATATCAAATGCAAGGCTTATTATTATAATACCAATTTATATTTATATAGCATGTTTCATGTCAGGAGGACAGGGCATTGGACAGTGTAACGGAAATATACAAAGAGAAATTATGTTATATTGTAACTGTTGAGTGTTTTCGTGCTAATGTGGACTGGTTCCTAGCTAGATTCCAGCTGGATTGGCATTCCCTAAAGTGGATTAATCCCAAAGATATGGAAGCTGCACTCTCCTCCAGGGCTAGAGCAGATTCCCGAGAGCACATCAGTCTGTTAATTTGCTCTTTGCCTTTATCTTGCAGAATTCCATGAAGGTTATGTTCAAATGCTTGTGGAAAAATTGTGGGAAAGTACTCAGCACTTCCACAGGGATCCAGAAACATATTCGCACCATTCACTTGGCGTAAGTCACTTCTGACAGGATGTTTACTTCACTGAAGGTTAAAGCGCTAACCTAGAATACACAGCACAGAAACAGCCCATTCGGCCCAACTGGTCTATACCGGAGTTTATGCTCCACATGAGCCTCCTCCTGGCCTTCCTCAACTAAGCCTATCAGCATAACCTTCTATTCCTTTCTCCCTCATGTACTATATATATATCTAGCTTCTCCTTAAATGCATCTATGCTATTCGCCTCAAGTACTCCTTGTGGTAGCAAGTTCCACATTCCCACCGCTCTCTGGGTAAAGACTTCCCTATTTGATTTATTGGTGACGATTTTATATTTATGGCCCCTGGTTTTGGTCACCCCCACAAGTGGAAACATTTTCCCTATGTCTATCCTATCAAAACCTTTCACAATTTTAAAGACCTCTATTAGGTTACCCCTCACCCTTCCCTTTTCAAGAGTAATGAGTCCAAGATTGTTCAGCCTTTCCTGATAGGTATAACCTCGCAGTTCCGGTATCATCCTTATGAATCTGCTTTGCGCCTTCTCCAGTTGCCTCTATATCCTTTCTGTAATATGTGGACTAGAACTGTACACAATACTCCCAAGTGTGGTCTAATCAGGGATTGATATAAGTTTAGCATAACTTCCTTGCTTTTTATATCTATCCCTCTAGAAATTAACCTCAACACTTGGTTTGCTTTTTTTATAGCCTTATTAATCTGCGTCGCTACTTTTAGCGATTTGCTTATTTGTAGCCCTGGATCCCTTTGCTCCTCTACCACATTTAGATTCTTATTTTTCAGGCAGCATGTGAGCTCCTTATTCCTCCTACCAAAATGTACCACTTCACACTTGATGTTGAAATTAATTTGCCAATTAAATGCCCTTTCAACAAATTTGTTAATGTGCATAAACAAGTTTAGCATAACTTCCCTGCTTTTCATTTCTAACCCTTTATAAGAAATTAACCCCATTTCTCTGCCATTTTGCTAGTTCACAGTAGCTTATTATCTTACTGTTCCCAGTACCCCACCTTTCCTCCACTTCCCACCATTATAAGTATCTATCTACAGTGTATTTCCCTTTTCAACATGCCTTTTAACTCAGTGTTTGATATGACAAGCTATGTGTTTTTAACCCATTAAACTCCAGCAGTACCTCAATGCACACTGTTCCTTCCAGTGTGAGGTAAGCCTGCTCTGCCATTTTGCCATTAAGCAGGGGGCATCCCTCCGGGAAAAGAGTACCCGTATAGGGTTACAGACAATGGGGAAATTTGCACGTGCCAGTGGCGTATACATGTGGATCTCTCAATCTGGTTTGGATACTCTTAAGCAAGGTGATTGGGATCCACATGTGTCAGATACCCGGCTGGAATTTAAGCGCTTTGAAATGTTACCCAGCGTGGAGGGCACTATATAAGTGCAATTTGTAGTTGGCTGACCCCCTCCCCCAAAAATCAATAAATATTAATTAGTGTTGGCTTAGTAATCACCATGAACACAAGCCAACAATATAAACTCTTTAAAGAACACCCCTCATATGATGAGACGTACACAATTCAGGTCAGCTGACGCTCATCTGCTATAATCTAGAAAAATGCCTTTCCAACCCCTTGCCTTTTGAGTAGCACCTCTTTTAGGGCCTAAAAATATAGCTAATCTGCTACAGTACTTGGATTCAGCGTAGACGTCTGGTCGCTCTCAGTATCTTTCAGAAGACCGAAGTTATTAAAAGATGCCACAAGCTCAATCCCGTCAAAGCACAATCAGTTAATTGACAGGAGGGAAGAATTTTATAATTATAATTTTAGCTTTAATCATTTTAAAAGGTAGACTTTCTTGAAGGTGACTGACTGAATTCACTTGTGGGCCTGATGTAGTTGCGTGGTGCAGCTTTGACTGACATTCACAGACCACTTGCTTTTTGTCCAAAAGCTTCAAATAGCCTGAGAAGCATGGGATTTGAGTCCTTTAAACTGTAAGTTATAAACCTGATTTCTTCTGAGCAAAGTAGATTTCCCTTTGTCGCAGGGATATTGGATTCTTTAAACCACTTCTCGGGATCTGTGTGATTAACTCCTGGGATCACTGCCGACTTCTAGCCATCTGTTCACACACAGGTGCCAGATCATTGCCATCTATTTGATGAGCACACATGTGCAGGCAGATTAGCAACACAACTAGGCCTCTTATTAACTCTTTACACGTCTCATATTTGTGGCCCCGTACGACGCTAGGCGAGACCAGTGGGTATGTCTCCTGGTCATTGATTCCCCCAAATAAAATAGGTTGTTCACTTCATGTCCCGCTTTTCAGGCTGCGAATTATGCACTTAAAACTTGAGGTGACATTAACGTGGTGTGGTCAATCTGTGAGTAAATTGGCTGCCAGGTTTGCCTACAAAATACAGTCACTACACTTTAGAGTAAAGCCCGTGAAGAGCTTTGAGACGTCTCAGAGATGTAATAAAGTGTCATATCAAATGCAAGGATTCTAAGGATTATTATTATTCAGGTTAAGTGCAATAACGGGGTCTCTGTTTTGCTAACAGCTCCTGTTATAATTGTGCTTTTCACTGATGCTGAATGAAAATTGTACTTTTTTCCATCGCCCCCTCTCAGACGCAATGGAGAATCCGACTACAGTGACGGGGAAGAAGATTTTTACTACCAGGAGATTAAACTGAACACGGATTCTGTAGCTGAGGGCCTGGGAAGCCTTTCTCCGGTATCGCCATCTGTGGCCTCTCCGCCTACGCTCACCAGCCTGGATTCAGGGGCATTGGACATCAGCACGGTAAACACAGAGACCAAGTCTACAACTCCGCTCAGTCGCTCAGCACCAACCTGCCTCTACCTCGTCCACACTGACCATGCTTACCAGGTACTGAGCCATGCGTGGAGACAGGTTTTGTGAAGTGTTGAGGTTTCAGTATATACAGTACTATAGTTTAACGTGTGAGAAGAACGTCCAACAACATTGCTTCTTCTGTAATGATAGGGAATGATTGTAAATGGATAGGTCCAGAGGCAGGATTGCTACCTCTTTAGCCATTGCTGCTTTCATTCCCCCAGTCTTGTTTGCTGAGCCCTTCCTTTCCCCCTCAGTGAGGTTGTTTTGCCCCCTTGCAGCCCAACCACAATGGTTTCATCCCCTTTTCCACAAGTTAATTTTCTGAGCTCTTCGGCTGTGCTTTCAAACTTCCTCTCCTTCCTGCTCGACTCACATCACCATTGTGAAGCACTTTGCAAAATGTGAACGGAGCTACAGGAACGGAACTGCGTTTCACTCACAAAATAAACAGTCACTACACTTTATAGTACAATAAAATGAAAACAACAATTTTCCAATGGCTGAGAATTGACCACACCATGTCAATGTCACCTCAGGTTTTAAATCCAAATGACGCAGCTCGAAAAGTAGGACATCGCTGAGGGTTTGCATAATACAAGACCACCTTTTCATAATGTAACATGCTGATGATCAGACTGGTTTACTTCACTGGGGAGGTGGAGGGAAGGAGGGAGAGAGGGAGGGGAAACCTGACTAAAGCTCACAGAGCACACACAGCTTGAAAGCATAAATAACAGGCCGGGAAATCAATTACTGGCCATGGTTACAATCACTTTCATGACAGCCCTAATAATATGGTTCAAGTGATCCTTTGAATAGACTAGAATAGTCACACAGGGAATTGTTGAATGTGGTGAAGGGTTGGCTCTGTTTTCCTAAACAGCGACCATGTTTCCCTCACATGAAGCTCTGTGTAAATTTAACGTCATCGTTCAGAAGAGTGTTTTGCGTGTATCATGGAACCTTTTGGAGGCCGGTGTTTTTAGGTGAAAAGAGTTTTGCTGTAATGGAAGTAGTAGGATGAGCTGATTCCAGGATTTAGCTGTCATTAAAGAAAAGATGTGGTTTTTACTCCAGCTGAGGAAGGGGAGAGATTTTCACTTGTTTATTATTATTATAACAGTAATCCTTGCATTTTATATAACGCCTTATCACGTCATCGAGCTGTCTCAAAGCACTTCACACGATATATTGTAAAGTGGTTCTGACTTGGTGTATTTTGTGGGCGAACACGTTTAATTCTAACCTTTCATTCAAACCCCAGATGGTAGATTAATTGATTGGACTCACCCACTGCCTGAAATAAGCAAAACTACGAAGTCCCAACTAAATGAAATCATGAACTGTGATCACGGGCGGTGGATTTTCAGCATTTACGAATTTCTTCATAGCACATAATATCCTTGGGCTACAGTATATAGTTTGTGACATGATATGTGAATGCGGATGCCAGCATGTGGAAGGTAAACTGGATGGACCTTGGTCTTGTTTCATCTAGCAATTCTTAAGTTCTTATGTTCACATTGGGCACTGGCTGTGCTTTTACATTGCCAGCTCTAATGGAATTCAAATCAGTCTTGACTAAGAAATGCTCTTTGATCTGTTTACCAAGAAAAAAATATTAAAACAAAGGGAAGTGAAACCTGGAGAGAGCCCCAGGTTGAGATAGTTCTGGCCTCCAGTCTGGATATCACGGTGAGGGCTGATGCTCCTCACAGCTTTGAGTGTTATGTTTAACAATCACAGAGTAATGAGTATTCCGCATGTGTTGCTGGTGAACATTTGACATGTTGGCTTACAAACTGGTTGCCCTTAGGATTTTGGAAGTGGAGTGCAAAGAGATAGATGCTCTCACTGTGACAGTACGTTTAGTGCACAATGACAATGCTGCTCATGATGGGAAATCTCATTAGTTGAGATCATCAAAATTATAATATAATCCTTGCATTTGAACACAGCAGCCAATTGCGCACAGCAGTTTCCCACAAACAGGCATGGATTGAGTGACAACTTCTTTTTATATTATTTTTTTGGAAGGGATTATCACCCGTGGAAAAACAACCCGTCAATCGACTAACAAATGGGTTCCTGTTTACTGCTAGGTAAAAACAGAGACGTGTGGAGTAAGGAAACTTGCTCAACATTTCGCCCTCTCCGAGAATCAAACCCAGGTCCTCTCCCTTGCAAGGCGAATGCTCTAATCAATACACTACAGGAATCCATGAATTGAGTCTAACTAAACACGTCACACTTGATATATTTACCACTTCACCTCCCTGTGACAGTATAACAAAGCGCTGTCATACTCCCAGGTTTGAACTCATCATTTTTTACATTTATTCTTTAATGTTGGTTTCTGAATCTGGATTTCTCTTCAATTAAAATAAATCAATGGAGTCTGGACAACACAGCGGATTGCATCGGTTCCCATTTACCCCTGAATTGAATCCAGCCAGGCGTCATGAGCATTTAGAATCTCTCTCTCTCTCGGCTATTGAAAAGTTAACTGAGTTTGGACAGTTCACTCCACTTTCTGGTGAGAGTGAATCCACAGAACAAAGCTTTCCATTATTTGGGTACTAAATTGGCAGCTTTATTTGGAGAGACCATGGGGATGGCAGGCATGTGAAATGGAAATCTCATATTGGCCTGAAGTGAAAGAATTCCTCTTCAGAACATTAGAAGAGAATCTGGAAGAGGAAATTTCACTCTGCCTCAGACACAGTGCTGTGCCTGAGCTGGCAGAGCCTAATCCTGACACAAGGTGATGATGATGATAATAATAATAATAATAAACCTTACATTTGCTATAGCACCTTATCAAGTTGTCGTGAGGTCTCAAGCACCTTGCAGAATTTATTGTAAAGTGATGCAACTGTGTATATTTTGTGGGCAGTTTTGCAGCAACAAAAAAAATACTGTGTTTACTTCCCAGCATTGATACCGTGTATCTTGTGCTTCTCAGCAGCCAGTTGCATTGTCAACCACAGAGGGGGCATGGGGAAAGGGCAGGTAAATGGGACTGAAAGGATTGCTTTTAAAGGAGCCGGTCCAGAAGCAATGTGCCTAATGGCCTTCTTCTAACTACAACAACAGTAAATTGTCTTTCATGTCCAGAGGATTTCCCAAGGCATTGGACAACCGAGGGTTTGCACCAGAGGTAGGGGTTAGATTTGGGACGGGTGGGGGATGGTGAGGAGAAATGAGCGAAGGCACCAGAATTTGCCACAAGTCTATTTGCTTCCAAATACAAACAAATGTTTCCTTTTCTGTGATAATTGACAGAAATAATCCTTCAATGAGATCAAAGTACCCTCTTTTTCCCTCCTCCCTCAGTTTTTATGCCTCACAGAGTTTATTCCAGCCATCGATCATGGCCTTTCTTTGGTCAAGAAGGATGGTGAGAGACCTGATGTTCTCAGGCACCCAGATATCTATGTGAAGCGGTTTGAGGCATCCCCTCGATGTGAAAATTGCCATAAAAATGTAAATTGTTGTCGTTGGTATTCTCTTAAGAGCATGCATGTAACATTTACTGTAACAGTTTTCTCCCTCACAGGCCACAGCACCAGTCAACATTCCAGCATCCAAGTTCACACCCAGCAGCAATGGGTTCAGCATTTCCTGGCAATCTCCACCAGTCACCTTCACGGGCATTCCAGTAAGTACGAGGGGCTTAAAGATCTGCAAAGGGCCACAGCTCTCTACAGTTGCTGGAGCTTTAATGGGTGGGCTGTGGGAGGAATTAAGTGAACTGAGAACAATACTTTCAGACACGCAAAGACAGTAGAATAAGAGAGCACAAGTTTAGGGCACGAGTTGCAAAAGGCAATTTTCAGGACAAATACCAGGAAATATTTATTTACCCAGAGGGTAATTAATGATTGGAACAGGTTGCCAGGAAGGGTGGTTGAGGGCAGGATACGGAGCTCATTTATGATGACCACAGGGTGCATGGACAGTAAGGTGGGTATGATGGAAAGAGAAAGATCAGATCAAATGGGCTGAAGGGGCTTTCTTCCTCCCAACCTCTTGTGAATTCTGCGATGATCATGTTTGAAAACAGTACTGCAATTTTTCAAAGAGTTTTAATAGCATTGCCAAAAGGTACTGATCTATTTTTTTCCAGAGAACGTAACATAAATATACAGTATGTGTAAACTTCACCAATATTCAGCCCCTCCAATGACTATGTGGGTAAAGCTACTGGCCAATGTGATAACTGATCTTAGGTTCTGTCCTGGTCCAGGTTAGATTAGTTGATATCAGCTGTTTTGCCTGTAACATTGGTACAATTTCTCCTTAATGCACTTGGACTTGGGGGTGAGGAAGGTCAGCCAAGGTCACTCGCTATGGATTGCTTTGAGTGACAGCTGCCGTATGGTGGACATGGACATCACAGGGTGAAATTTCGCTGATCTTCAACTTACCAATCGCGTTTGCTTTTTGGGGCTTATAAAAAAGGGGCAGCATTTTATTTATAACAACGGACCACCAAGGCTGGTATCTTTAACAGTCGGTGGAATTTCACTCCATGGCTGAGGATAAGATTGGGCTGTGCACTGATTGGGTAGGGGGAAGGACTCTCCTTGTTTTATTCTGTGATATTTTTGTTTGGGGGAGGGTACGGTTTGATTCGCTTTAGTTTTGTTATGCTGCTAAAAGTGGGAACACTAGGGTTCAAAACGGACTCCTGGCAACATTTCCAGTTTTCCATTGACTTGAATCTGGTTTAGTTGTAAGGATGGATGTGATTTGCGCTGGGGGCCCTAAGCTCTGCCCCTCCTGCACTCGTCCAAGGTTATTTGGGTCAACTCCAATATCAGTTGCACAGGAGCCTGTCTCAGCAAACACTGCACCTCGCGTGTTAAAGAGAGTAGGTCAGAGTGCACAGGAAATCACAGCGTCTGCAGATATCTGAACTAGGAGAAGCCTTGATCACTTTTTTTTTACAGCAAAATTAATTGTATGTTTTTTTTGTTTGAAAAAAAATCATTGTTTTATTACAGCAGTTTTGTTTTAACCAATGACAACCCAGGCTGATATAGAAGGTGGGAGATTCAAATGCACTCTTCAAGAAAACAGATGTAAACAGTTGAGTATCTCATACTGGGTATGTCAGCTTGGCCCAGTCGATAGCACTCTTGTCTCTCAGTCAAAAGGTTATAGGTTCAAGCCCCACGTCAGGACTTTGAACTCGTATAGTCTATGCTGACACTTCGATACAATCCTTGGGGATTGTTGCATTGGTGGAAGTGCCTTCCTTCGGACAAGATGTTAGACTGTTCAGGTGGATGTTCAAGATCCCATTGCACTATTCGAAAAGAGAATGAAATGTCTCACTGTGTCTTGGTCAACAATATCCCTAAATAAAACTGGTCATTTGTTTCATAGCTGTTTGTGGGATATTACTGTGTGCAAATTGTGTTTGCCTACAAATACAGTCACTTCACAATAAATCCTGTGAAATGCTTTGAGATATCCTGACATGAAAGGTGCTGTACCAAATGTAAAGAATATTATTAATAATTTACATTTTCACTTTCCTCCTCTTTCCTCTAAGCTCTGAATAAAATATGCTACAAAGTCCGTAGCAAGAGTGTAGAAGTTTTCTTATCAGAAGAAGTGCAGAAGACAACAGAAGGGCTTAGCTAGGTTAGCAGAGTCGGCAGATAAATGGAAATGAAATCAGTGGAGAAATGTGAAGTATCACCTGCCGAAAGGGACATTAGAACAATTTGTTTTGTACAGAGGCTTTTGGAGTATGGAATGCGTTACCAGAAAGGGCTGTTGAAGCTAAATCCATAACCGCATCTAATTGGGTAAATACTTGAGAAAGAAATAATATTGAAGAGTGCAAGGGAATGGATAAGAGTAGATGGTACCAGTGGGGGAGCTGGCTCCAGTACAGACATGATAGCCTCCCACTGTGCTGTAAACGTTTTACAAGCTGCTACTTGCCAGACACTTGCGGACCAGCAATGCCCACGCACACACAGCATTCCTGGCCACCTGTCTACAACAGCTTTGAGGGGTTTGACCCACAAAATACACACAGTCACACCACTTTACAGTATATCCTGTGAATCGCTCTGAGACGTCTCGCTGACGTGATAAGGCGCTATATCAAATGCAAGGATTATTTACAGCCGTATCCACAGAGCAGTTACTGAAAGTTTAAAGGGGCGGGGAGAATTGAACTAAAACAGATTTGCAGATTTCAAAAGGATGCTGGACATTAGTTTGAGCCATTTGTAATTATGGGCCAGGCTTGTATCTCCTTCATGCTGTGAAGCTTCTGTATCGGGGGTGACATGAGTTAGCTTGATTCCTGGAGAGAGTGACACGGGCACAGGCAGAAGCAGTGCCAGAAATCCGATGCTGTACTGCTCAGGCATATCTGCTGGTAATGATGGGTGTAGCCTCTGCTGTAGACATTAATCAGTGTGCTTCTGAAGAACACAGACCCCTCCAATGTAATTTGCTATCTAGAAAGTATCAGCAGCAGTGTGAATGATCTACAGTAATTCAGGACATAACCCTTCCATAAAATATCTGCTGGACATGCTCTATGCCTGTGGATCACTGCTCTCAAAAAGCTGTTCATGATGATTTACTATCATTGTGCACAAGGTGCTAGAGATGAACATATTCAGCCCTTGTAGCAATTTCTCTGTCGATCTGATCAGTTGTTTTAAACAATGATGCTCAGTACATTCAGTACTTTTATACTGATGCTTATGATATAGTGCAGATGTCCGCCCTGATTACTGCAGAATGCCTAAAGCAATAATAATATTAAGTTATTCAGCGCAGACATTGTGATTTACAATAATTATGCTAGATGCCTCTTAGTAAATTACCATATTTTCCCCATTAGCGGAGACTGATGGGAATGTATGTCAGCTCTTGAGAATTCATATGTGTACATTTAATGTCTGTGTGACAGCTCTGCACTTCACTCGTTTGTATTGTATTTCAATCTGTCTGCTCCCCAACCACTCCTGGCAAAAGAAATCAGATCTAAAACTCATTACCTATTCTCCGGATGCTGGAGCCTAATGAGAGTGACATCACATAGTGGAACACAGTGCTCAGCTCTGCTTGCTTTACTGCCTCTCAGATGACTTTCTTGTTAGTTAATATGGTTTTATGGTAACCATTAGCTTCCTTTTTACAAAGGATTAGTTTGGTTGATTCAGATGACTTCCAGCCACCCTTACGACAATTAATATTTGCTCAGAAAAAAATACATACGAATGATTTGATTTCAGGTACCTTCAGGATTTCCAAGAATTCAGGAGTATTTGGAGCTGGTGCAAAGTCTTTCCAACTGCTCAGGGTGTCCCAGTAGGACATGTTTTATGAGCATATTGCCATACCTGGCCAATGTAGGAATCCAGCCAATGTGAAGGGGGCTATACAAGTGTAATTTGTTGTAGTTTTTGTTTATACTGTGTGCACCTCCCTCCCTTAACCTTGTAATTGACTCAGAAAAGAAGCTGTCACACTACAAAATGAAGAAGGCTCTTTGGGTCACTTGATCTCTTACAGAATTCCCACCCTATTGTCTTACCATTACAGCATCAAGCTGTTTCTGAAATAAGGGTCAGGGTTCTGGAGAGTAAATATAATAATAATAATAAAGAATAATTATTGCATTTGATGTAGCGCCTTATCACATCTTCAAGATGTCCCAAAGCGCTTCACAGGATTCCATTGTGAAGTGTAGTGTTTTGTTGGCAGATGCGACAGCCAATTTGCGCACAGCAACAAACAGCCATGAAGTGAGTGACTGGTTTTATCTAACTGTTTACAATTGTCAGGAAAATCTGTGCAGATATATTACTGAAGCTTACTATAGTTCACGTTAACATCATGTGACTGATTGGGAGGAAAGCTGTTGACAATGACCAAAACCCAAACTATTGTCAGCTCTCTTCCAGACTGATCTGTTGTAGGTTTCCAACATTTGTTGTTTTTATTTCAAATTTCCAGCGTACAATAAATTTTCTATTTGATTCTATGAAATTAATAAACCTCAAAGAAAAGCTAAAAATTGAGAGAGTGTCTTTTTCATAATAGCGATTATTTTATTTCTGTGTCATTAACTCCTTTTTTAAAAAAAAGTAGATAGATACAGTCGGCATTTACATGGTTAGAGATGACATTCAAGGTTATAGGGATAGGTATAAATAGAGATGATCAAATACACTGTGGATCATGGTCATGCTGCTGAGACCATCTGTGGAAAGCAACTGGCCAGAGCTGAATAATAGGGATGTCAGGGTAGACAGATATTCAGAGTTTCGATCTATTATCTTTGGGGAATCAAGGAAAACATTTGTAACAGAATATGGGAGTTCAGTTTGTTCTCTCTCCCACCACCCCCTCCACACCCGCCCCCCACAATTGGAGCTGCCCAATAAGCAAGCCCCTGTTCTCTCCAACTCTCCCAAAATCCCTCCCTCAAAACCTTCCTAAATCCTTTCACCTTGGCTTGGTTTGATTTCCTCAACCTGCTCCCTCCTCTCACTTTGTTCAGTGATCTATTTTGTCTCTGTAAAGTACTTTCAGACACTAGCCTAATAATTAGTAATAATGATAATAATCCTTGCATTTGATATAATGCCTTATCATGCCTTTGAGATGATTCAAAGCGCTTCACAGAATATACTGTAAAATGAATTGACTGTAATATTTTGTGGGCGAAACGTGGCAGCCAATTGTGCACAGCAGCGCCCCACAAACACTTGTGGATTGAGTGACCAATTATTTATTTATTTTGAAGGAACTATTACCCCCAGAAATGCGATTCGCCAATCGACTAATGACTGGGTTTTTACCTACTGATAGGGAAACAGAGGCATGTGGAGTAAGCAAACTTCCCCAACGTTTCGCCCTACTGGGAATCAAACCCAAGTCTCTCGTTTGCGAGGCGAGTGCTCTAACCACTGAGCTACAGGTCTACTCCAGTGGTATTTCAGTGCAAGTTATTATTGTTATAAATAATTGGAGAAAGTTATAGGAACAGGAGTAGGCCATTCAGTCCTTCGAGCCTGTTCCACCATTTAATTAGATCATGGCTGATCTGTACCTCAACTAATCCTTTCAATTCCAATTTCCTGCTTGCTCCCAATATCCCTTAATACCCTGACCTATCAAAAAATCTATCAACCTCACTCTTGAAGGTGTGGATTAAGTAATCCAGCATCCATGGCCTTTTGGGGGAGAGAATTCCATATTTCTACTACCTCTGAGTGAAAAAAAAGCTTTCTGATTTCACTCTTAAATGAGAGACCTGGGTTCGATTCCCAGCAGGGTGAAACCTTGGGCAAGTTTCCTTACTCCACACCCCTGATATTAATCCCTCAAGAAAAAAAACAAGAAAATTGGTCACTTCAATCCGCGACTGTTTGTGGGACACTGCTGTGTGCAATTGGCTGCAGCCTTTCGCCCACAAATATACAGTCAATTCACTTTACAGTCTATTCTGTGAAGAGCTTTGAGACGTCTAGAAGACATGAAAAGTGCTATATCAAATGCAAGGATTATTATTATTATTAAATGGCCTGGTTCTAATTTTGAGACTATGCCCCATGTTTTGGATTCCCCCACCAGAGGAAATAGCTTCTCTGTATCTACCCTATTGAATCCCTTTATCATCTTAAATAACCCACAAATCACCCCTCAACCATCTAAACTCAAAGGAATGCAATCCAATTTTACTCAGCCTTGCTCGTATCTTAACCCTTTTAGGCCTGGTAATATTCTGGTGAACTTACGCTGCATTCCTCCAGGACCAATATATCTTTACTGAGGTGTTGTGCCCAAAACTGAATGCAGTACTCCAGATGGGGTCTGACTAACACTCCATACAGCTGAAGCATTATTTCTTGCCCTTTGTATTCCATGCCCCTTGAGATAAAGGTTTTTTTCATCCATAGTGGATGACCCTGCACTTCCCTATATTGAACTCCATCTGCCACAGTTTTGCCCACTCACTTAATCCCTTTGTAACTTTCTATTCCCATCTATGCAGTTTACTGAGCCTCCTACCTTAGTGTCGTCTGCAAACTTGGATATAAAACTTTCTATTCCTTCATCCAAGTCATTCATATGTATGGCGAACACTTGTCACGTCCCACCAATCAGAGAACGTTCACTTTATCCCTACTCTCTGTTTTGTGCCTCCCAATCAATTACCAAGCCACGTCACAAGGTTACCTCCAACTCCATGCGCTTCCATTTTCGCTAATAATCTTTTGTGTGGAACCTTATCAAATGCCTTCTGATGATGGAACATAGTGTTTCTGGTTTGTGGAAGGAGCGGAGATGCAATGAGCCATAATAATAATCCTCACATTCGATAAAGCCCCTTTCATACCGGGAGGACGTCTCAAAAGTGCTTCACAGGATATACTGTAAAGTGTAGTGTCTGTGTAATTTGAAGGCAAACGCAGTAGCCAATGTACACACAGCAATGTCCTACAAACAGCCATGAAGTGAATGACCAATTTTATTTTGGGAGATGGTTAGCCAGGGAAACTCCCTTTTCTTTTCAAGATGATATGTATCACTGAATATATAGATTAAAAAGCCCCACCACTCTGATGGGCCTTTACTCTTCTGTTTCAATCCAAAAAGTGCACAGAGGATTGCATTTCAGAGGAAACCACTCCTCAGTAAAGTGCCCTTAGTGGAGTAACCTGCAATTTGTATTTCATTGCAGTTCATTCAAAGCTATAAACAGCTCCATAGTAACACTGCAAAATGAAGTCTACTGATATTGGAGGCATTTTTTTTATTTCCAGCTCACAACAGATTGCTGACTAAAGATCTTGTCACTATTTGTAAAAAAAAAGGAGTTTCTTTTTTCCGGTGTACTGGCCAACAATCCCCCAAATAAAATTGATCATTCAGTTCATGACTGTTTGTGTGACATTGCTATGTGCAAATTGGTTGCCGCATTCACCCACAAACACCCAGTCTCTTCACTTCACAATATATCCTGTGAAGCGCTTTGGGACATCCTGCTAATGTGAAAGGCGCTATGTCAAATGTAAGAATTATTAGTATTATTAAAGTAGTAAGTGGAACAGAGGGTTAAACTTTAGGTATTGTGTAATATTTATGTGGAATAAGTGTTCTATTAATCATATCTTTATTTGAGAGATTTGTTCACCAGCCTATCCAATATAATGTATAATAATTCTTGAGTTTGATACAATGCCTTATCATGTCAAAACATTTCACTGAGGTTAATATGAAGTGTAGTAACTGTTTATTTGAGGGCATGCAAAAACGGCAGATGAAGTGAATAACTAATTTTATCTGGGAGACTGTTGGCTAGGACACCAGGAGAAATTCACTCCTCTTTTCCATTTGTGTCATGGGATCTTTGATATCCACGTGAACAGGCAGTTTAACATCCCATCCAAATGATAGCATCTCTGACATTGGACTGCAGTGCACTGGCTGTGGGGCTTGAACCCACAGCCTTCTGACTCGGAGGACAGAGCGCTAAAAACTAAATCAGGCTGACACATTCTCCCAATATTTGAAACAACATGAAAATTAAGTCATAGTATTTAATAGTGACCAAGGTTGAGACATCAGGGTGAAAATTGCCACATGTGATGTGGTCATACTATTCAAAACTTTGAGTTTGAACCAGTGGATAGCCGAAAACTCACAGTCACAAAATTCCTGAAAAGACCAGAGTGCAGACACTTTGTTCACTGGGATTTTTTGGGAGGGCCTTTGATGTCTTTAAGGAATCTCACAAATTGATGTGTGGAAACCTGCAGTTGTAATTAACACAACAATTTCAGTTTGTGAATATCGCAAATTACACCAGGCTACAGTAAATCTAGGCAACACAGTGGAGCCCTATAATAATGCAGTGGTTGAGATCCATAAAATCCCAGGCCCCATTATAACGAGGCCAATAACTGGTTTCACCACAGCCAGCCGATCGGTTCCCATGCTTTTTTTTAAAAAAAAACAACTTCCAGGTTATCAGGCAGCCAGTGACATTGCTACAGTACCAACCTGGTGACCCAGAAGTTAGCAACATTTTAGTGTGGGAAGTTACAATGGCCCAACTCCAGCTCACTGTCAATGTCACTTCTTGCTTTGTGTGCGCAGCAAATGGGAAGTGATGTTGCGATCACCTAATGATCTGGAAACTGGGCAATTTTAGCACAAAAGGTGGGTGGGAAGTGAGCAGAAAATGTGCAGTGAATTGGATCACATTCCTACAACATTGAGGGCAATAGTAATACCGGTAACCACTAACTTGCTTGAGATCACCTCACATTCACACTTCAAACCTCTGATCTTTGTGGCTTTATTGTTGCACGAGTTGGCACTGTTACCCACTAGGCCACGGAGAAGAAAGAGTTTCGTACTTGCTCGTGAGATGAAATGTGAAGCTGCAAGCTCCACAGAAACAGCACGTTGTTCCTTCCAGATCTCTTCACTTCACAGAGTTAAAATGGGCCATTTGTTAGGGTCAATTAGCACAGGGGAGGATCAAACAGGAAAATGCGGTCCCAAGTTCAAGAAGCGTGACAGACCATGCCTTACGATGACAAACCCATTAGCCTCAAAACCATTAATGGGATTGATGTCCAGTAGTAAATAGAATATTATCTGGTTAAAACTAACCAAAGAAAATGGAAGCCAACGCAACTTCAAAAAGGTAGATCTTGCCAGATCAATCTTCTTTGATGTTTTTGAGGTGTTGACATGAGGAAGTCGATAGTTTTCCTACATATCTAAAAGGCATGCATCAACGCACCACATGAGAAATTTCTTTAAAAACTAATGTCAATGGCTAATCAACAGTAAACCATGGATGAGGATCAGCAACTGGTTGAGGGCAAGGAAGCAGAGGATTGTCATGAGGAAATAAGGGAAGGTATTGTATAGGTTGACTCTTGGGTCCATGGTGGGACAATTACGGATAACTCCATGGTCGGGAACAGCAACAACAAAATTCAACAACAACAACAAAATTACATTTGTATAACGCCTTCCACGTTGGGAGGACGTCCCGAGGCACTGATGGAGGGGGCAGGAGAGAGAAAAACTGTGGAATTAGATAAAGCAGCATAGATCTTACAAAGAGTCTGTATAAAACTGCTGTTAACCTTGTTGTTTCTATGTGTTAGATCTCCCCAAACCACAGCCTTGCCATGGGAATCAAGGACCATCGCCAGCTGCCTCTCTCTGCACTCTCCTCTCCACCCAGACCTGCACTCAGTGCAGCAAGGTGTGGTAGCTGTTTCTCTGTAGAGTGTGTGTGTGTGTGTGCATGTACAGCCAGAGGGAGGGGAGTGGAGAGGGAAAGAAAAGTGCTTGTTTTTTAAACAACATCTGTAGCATACCATAGTCAGAATTTGCACTTCAGCAAAGTAATTCTAACAACAAAATCATGTTTCAACTCTGAGCAGATTACTTGTTGGGTCAGGTCCAAATGGCCTTTTATGCTCAGTGTAGGATTCCTGTGAAAGGATAGAATGAAAAAGAAACAGGCCACAAAGCTGGGAAAACATCCAGTTACAAGATATGTTACTGGCGTTTCTAAAATAGCTTCCATCTGCTTCCCAGGCAGAAACCTTGAAACACTGATAGCATTTCTGTATCATATCCAAAGGTTCAACAACGTTTTTTCTCTTCAGTTATTATCTCATTATGTAGAACCTAGCAAGCCCACATTTCTCAGCAAGTTGGCTTGTTCTAGTCATCTTTAAGATGTAGCCTTTTTAAAATCATTTAATGGTTATTGTGTTCCTTCCCCTAAAGGTTCCAAACTCACCGATTATCCCCTGGACTGTTCAACTCCATTCTCTGAAATTAGCAAAAGTTAAATATGCATTTATTAATGGCTGAAAGTGAAAGTGTAATTGTGAATCTGAAAGTTCATAGCGTTTACTTAAAAACAACACTAATTCTTTAACTTTTAAAATGCAGTAATGGATCAGAATAACACAGACAAATATGACCTTGTTTTGGTTTCACAATTGGAGACAATTTCCACCTGGATCTAGATTTACTCTGTTTGTATGGAGCATTTTAGAGCAAGAAGAATTTGACAAATTGTTGTCCCCACACAGCCACTACTCGAATCCTGCGATCACTTCCACCTTGACTAGCAAAGGAAAGAAATGGAAATGAATCATCACAACATTTTTGAATATGTCGTCCATTGGTGTTAACTTTCCAATATTATCACGTACATGTTATGCTACCAATACACCATCACTTTTCTGCATCACTATTGCCATGTTGTCCTATAATCAATACAACACTGTTGGAGCTGCATTAATATGCTCATCTTGTCCTTCCTTTATAACAACAACAAAATTACATTTATATAATGCTTTTCATGTCGGAAGGACATCCCAAGGTGCTGCACGATGTCACAACTCATGAGTACATGGAAACTCAAAATTCTGAACTTTACAAGCATTTTGTCTTAGATTTAAGATTGTACAGATTTGTCAAAATTTCTCAAGTTCAGTATTAAGCTGTTTTTCCACAGCTCTTGAAAAGGTCTGGCTTCTAAATTAAGACTGAATTTAAAATTTTTCCACATTCCTCAGCATCTTAAATTTTAAGATGGAAACAGTCCTGCCGCATGAAGTGAAATTTTAGGTTTCTGAAGAGGTGCGTTGTTGCAAAGTGCATTTGGGCCAAAATGCAAAAAAATTAGTTTCTGTAGAATCACTCTCAGTAGAAAGCTGTCCTTATCACATGACCCTCTTTATGGTCAAAAGTAAATCCCTTAGCTGAAAGTGCACCATTAACTAACCGCTTTCAAATCCAGTCATTCAAGGTTCAAAATTGCACTTTAATTTTGGCTGAGATTCAAAAAGTATGACCACATCAGTGGAACAGCACAGATGGAACATAAAACTGGCAAAAGAAATAAGATATGTTCTAAAATGTTAAATGTTTGCAGCGGTTTTAATAGCAGATCCAGTTTTTGTTAAAATAAATAGATTTTTGTGAGTAAATGCAGTTGAAACTGGCCTAATATAAATGGGTCTTAACAGGTTTCTTAATCCGAATGTATTTTTCAGCGTGCACAATGTTATAGAAATTTGCTAATTATTCACATTTCTTTTTGAGCAATCCCACCACTGGCAGCCCTGGGATCAATTGACCTTTTCTTGTTTTCTGCTGCCAGAAAAATTCGCGGGGAAGGAAAGAAATGCCGCAAAGTGTATGGAATGGAAAACCGAGACATGTGGTGTACTGCCTGTCGCTGGAAGAAAGCTTGCCAGAGGTTTATTGATTAGAGGATTTCCCTGGAGGGTCTTTCAGAAGATTCCTGGTGCAGCTATGTAACGTGTAGGTTTTTGAAGCACTTAACTCTTTTTTTTGTGGGGAGGGTGGGGGGTTGATTTTGTAAACTTTAGCAACACTCGTATCCAACAAGGTGCACTTAAAGGAAAGCTGTGTGGGAGTGGGTAGCAACCACAGATTGTTCAGATATCAGGCACAAAAGATTGTATTCTGATTGGAAATCTTCTGCGAGCAGCTGGACTAATGTGATTAGGAGTTTCTGAAGTGTCTGTTCCTGCACTGGAACATCTGTCTGGCTAAGAAATTAAGTAATTTGCTATGTTTTATATCTTAATTTGAAGATTTACCAAGACACCCGGGGAAGCTCTGATCAGGTCAGAACTTCTTCCGTTGCCTGTGAAAGGCACCTCCCAAGTGAAACACTTGCGCAATTTATCTTTTGATGTGACGTTACTTTTCTGGTAGGCAATATAAGCTATTTTTTACTAATCCCAACTACAGCACACGTGCTAAGAGGAACACTGATATAGAAACATTACAACAATATGTGTCTTAACTTCTCTGGACGACGAAAATATGGAAGAACAAGATGGAGTTGAAGAGAGGGAGAGCTAGGCCATGACGTCCACTTCTAAAACTGAATCGGTTGAGCTACATCTTTAAGAAGACACCACAGAACACCAGCCAAGATCAATAGGAACTTCTGCTTAAAAGAATTAAAGAAATTATCAGCTTTATTGCTTTGTATTACAAGCTAGTGGACCCTTTAGGGATGTGCATTGAACTGGAACAGTAAACAAGGACAGTGCAAGTGAATTAATACCAGCCTTGCTTAACATTGCAGTACATTGAGACAAGCAGATTTCTTTCCATTTTGTCTCCAATTCCCTAACCATTTGTAAACTTTCTCCAACATGTGAAATGACCGACCAATTAACTGAAAGCTCATGGGGAGAAATCCCACCTGGCTCCAGATATCCTCTCTAGGTATTCATTCAGTGCTTCCAGAATTTGGCAAATTGTTCAACTTTGTCTTAACCTCAAAGTCTGTTTCATATAGTTTCTTAAAAGAACTTACAAAAAAAAGGCCTGAAAATTAATGCTGTGTTTATGAATTTGCCACATTCTGGATGCTCTGAAATGCTATGCAAGTTAAGTAAATGTAGAGCCTGGTGCAAGTCCTCACCATTAGTAGGGTTGAGAGAATGGTTGAACAGGAAATTCGCAGGCTAAATAACCCTAGCACCAGAGGAGTGCTTGAGGGTGTCAAGTGCTTCTCGTGTATGTCATGATACTCACGACCCACAGGAAACTCTGGTCAGAGGTGATCTCAGGTCGGAGTGGAGTTCTTGTGAACCCACAGCACCTTCTCCTGTGCTCGTGCCATTTACACTGCAGTTCTTCCTACTCAAACCCTGATTCAAACACATTATTCATCTATTGGTGTTAATTGTGTTTTATTGTTCAGTGACATGAGATACTCTTCACACTGTGCAAGCTGCAGGATGTAATTAACTTCTTACCTGTCAACATAGTAACTGTGTTAGCAGTTTATAATGGGAATGGTGTGTGTTACTAATGGACGGTTCTTGTACTAAGAGGCAGTGCATAGAAATGCGCTCCCTGGGAAAAAATCATTTAAATTGCAGACAGTGGCTCCTAAAATGCAAGTATTATCCTGACATAGGAGGCTCTGACCAGAGAACCAATGTACCATCACTAATATGGTAGCTGTGCTCTCCTCACACAAATGGAATATGATATGTGGCACTCAAAGAACAGCCATTGTATTATCAAATTCTCACTGTGGGGAAGCTGAAAGATTACTAACTATTGCCATCTGTTTTTCACTGTGTTAAGCTGAGTAATGCTGCTAGTCCAGGAAACATCTCAACTTGTTTCTTAACCTGGAACACCACAACAAGCAGAGTTAAGATGATTGAAGATCTCATTAAATTGTGTGGGAGACCACAGGAGCAGAGATTTGGAGACGGGAGGTAGATTTAGCACTTAGCCAAATGACTTTCAAGTGCCATTCAATATTAATCACCTTAATGTAATGTGCATTAGTCCTAAAAATATGAAATGCACTGCTGTACTTCGAAAAGGAAAAGACTTTCTGAAATGAAGCCGCAAAAAGTATTTGCAAATAGCAGCTGGTTACCCTCTGCATAGTGGGAACTAGCAATTCCTAAAGCAAACATAATTGAACGTGTTTAACTGCAACCATGAAGAACATTACCAGGAATGCACTATTATTATACTAACTAAAATATTGTTTATATTTATGTTTATACACAAGTGGTCTACCTTGTGGAAGTTAAATGGTTTCCATGGCCTTTTATTATTTTTACATAGATTTACAGAGATCGTACAGCACAAACAGTCCATTTACCCCCAAGTGGTCTATGCCGGTGTTTATTACTACACATGAGTCTCCACCCCTCCTTACTCCCTCTCATACCCTTCTATTCCCTTCTCTGTCATGTCTTCCTCTTAAATGCATCTATACTATCTGTTTCAACCACTGCTTCAGCCAGGGAGTTCCACTAAATTTCACTTGATTCTTCTGCCTTGAGGGATGGTGATGTAAGCCAGCTCCTGTCCCATGCACTTCCTGTAGAAGCCAGCAATCATTTTGTCACCTGCCTTCTGTATTCATGGACTAAACTTGTCAAGTCAGTGAGGCAATGCTTATGGCCTGTGTGTGTTTAAAAGGGTGTGGATACCTGCAGGCTTCCCATTCTGGCAGCATTATCCAGCAGAACACAAACACACACGTGAAGTCGCTTTGCACCAGGCACTGTTATTCAGCTTTTCGTTTTGCCCTGAAACCACTACGTTTCTGTCAAGCACAGTGATTGTTTTTATTTGTCAGGGGTGGGGTTGGGGTGGGCGGAATTGGAATAATTTTTAAAAGTTGTCTTCAAAAGTATATTTTGTAAAAAAGAAAAAGGGGGAATATATAATATATATATTATATATAACAACATCTGGACTTGGGGTTTAGAGCCCCTTAAATTATCGGCCGATAATTGTGACATTCTCTTTGTACTTTATGTGAAAGACTCATGGGTTCCTGATTGATAGCATCAGTACAGTTCCTGCAGGCTAGTTTGCACTGCTGGACCAAATGTGACCATATGTATGAATTTGACAGTGTTAATAAGTTGACTGTGTTTATGAGTGGAACAGTGTGTATGAGTGCGGCAGTGTATATGAGTGTGACTATGAGTGTAACGCTGTGTATGAGTGACTGGCTGTATGAGTGTGACAGTGTTTGTGAATATAACAGTGTATATGATTATGACAGTGTTTGTGAGTGTGACATTATTAGTGAATGATGCAGTTAAGGACATAAGGAAGTAGGTGGTACATAAGTTCATGAAAATCTTCTGAGGTTTGGTGAACCTTTTTTTAGTCCAGGCTTCAGGATGTTTGCACATCCCTACTTGTTCCTTATACATATGTACATAAATGCCTCTTGTGAATGTATTGTGAACATGTTTCTTGTATTCCCTTGTGATTGCCCCAGGGATTTTTCTCTCTCTCTGAATTACAGGAATGCTTATCTTCTCCACTGAGTCAGTAGTACCACTTACATTTCACTGTTTTCACTCTCGTTGTGTTGTTAGCACGAGACCGTCTGGAATGCAAGGTGCTGGGTTCTCAAGGTGCCAAGTCAACAAGGCCAGACTTTTATTTCTCTTGTCTAGGCAGAAGTCTACCTTTGAGCCAGATTTGGGATGCTTTTAACTAAAGAATTTGCACTTAAAAATTCATCATCACTCAACAAGAGCAGCTCACACTCCCAAAGTGCTCAAAAAAGTAATTGAGGAACAGTAAATCTCAATGACGCTTGTTAACTGTACATCTCCAAGTTGACCAATATGAGCTAACGTCATGTGTTGGCTGGTGGAGTTTGATACTATTTTCCATAAACTTAGGTCAGTTTCATTATAAATTATTAGGATTATAAGAATCAGCAACCTTCCTACCCTTCTTGGCCATATCTGATAGAGTAATGATTTATGAGCAGCAGTTAGACATCCTAGTCTTCAGTCTTGAAAGGAAATGCCTCAGAGGTCACCTCATAAAATCTTACAGCACAGAAGGAGGCCATTCGGCCCATCATGCCTGTGTTGGCTCTTTGAAAGAGCTACCAATTACTTACACTCCCCCACTCTTTCCCCGTAGCCTTACAATTGCTGAAGGGGTATAAGATTTTAAATGGGATTGCAAAAATAAACCCAGAACAATATTTCCAGATGCACTGAGACAGTAAAACAAGAAGACTAGGTTCAGAGTTGCAAAGGACAATTTCAGGAAGACACCAGGAAATATTTTTTTACCCAGAAGTTAACGATTTAACAGATTGTCAGGAAAAGTTCATAGAGATCAGGATGCTGGGACTCAATGAAAAAACAGTTTGATCCTGTAATGGGAAGCTGGTAGGGTGGGTGTTCTGGAGGGTGAAATCAGATGAGCCGAACCAATCCAAACCAATCTTGTGATTTTTAGTTAAAGGAATATTTGTAATCTTTATAAATAGTAAAGCAATTAAACTACATATCTGGGTGGTGTTGGCATGGGAGGAGATTTGACTTGACCGTAAAATTGCTTTGTTTCTGTTAGACTGGAGCTATAACAATCTGGCTGAAAAGTGAGAACAACAAATATAATTTGAAGACACAAGGTACCTGCAAATATTATTAGGTGATTCCCTGGTGCTGACAGGCACACACTGCAGAAAAACATCTTTGTTACACTGTACAGTACAGTGGGCACCACAGCCTCAAAAGTGTTTGAAGAAACAGTGAACTGTGCAAAAATGTTATTGATAATTTTTTGTATAAGTGTTTTCAAAGCTAATGGGTTTGATTTTGTACCAAAGGACATTGAAAATTCTTTGCCAATATGTTAACCGACTTTATTCGCCAGAAAGATGAAGCATTAAACAAGAACCTCAGGATTACTATTTCCACAGGTTTGATATTATGGCAGAGAATGTTGGAAAGAAATGTTTTCAAGCCATACTCAATGTCCTTATGTTTGGAATAATAAGACTTATCTCAGGGGAACAGAATCGGCATCGCTGTCTGTTACTTGGGGAGATTTGAACACATGCAACTGTGCACTATATTTTGCAGTGAATAGTCCCATTCACAAACTGAAATCTATAAAGTGATGGTTTGTGACTGACCTTTGTGGTTTCAGTTTGCACCTGGTACAAGCCAAAGGTGGAATTAGGAAAGTGTGTTTGTAGCACGTGCAGAGACCCCTTTTGATGAGAAGGTCGACTGAATGTAAAAACAACTAAAAGCTATGCATTTTGTAATTTTGTCTGTGACACTGCAGTCTTGATTATACAAACAGTGAGTGCAACATTCCTCTGTACAAATCTGCCTGATTACACTTTGCCAAACATATTTGTAACTATGATATCTGCTTAAGGTGCAAACTTTTATCAGTTTTTTACAATGTTGTCGATTTCAGGAAATGAATGGCAAAGAAGAGCGTCATTGCAAAACAATGTGCTGTTTATGACCAGTCAGTCAGTGTGGCTGGACTCACTTCAATAAACGGAACTTATAGCCTCAACGTATTTGGCTGCGCATTCTGAGCTGGCAGTTTACAGACACATCCTGAAGAAAAGGTGAAACGTGTTCCATGGGATTCAGAGTCTGTCTGTCTATTGTTATATAAATCGCCCACAAAATATGCAGCCAATTCACTTTACAGTACATTCTGTGAAGCACTTTGAGATGTCTCTAGGATGTGATAAGGCACTATATCAAACGCAAGGATTATTATTATTATAAATCAGGCACCAGTGAGATGATTTGCAAATGTTTTCAACCACTGACCCCATGCTGAAAAATAATCGATTGGTACAAACTTCTAACACTTGTTGAAGGGTCCTCAAGACTTGTTCTTTCCAAACAACAGATATCTTCCTTGATACATATTAGAGTTAGAAGCTACTGATGTAAGAACTCTGCTAATTTACAGTGATAATAAAAGTTT